ATTGCTTTTAGATCTGGGGAATTTGGAGGCCAAGTCAACACCTCAAACTTATTGTTGTGCTCCTCAAACTATTCCTGAAGCATTTTTGCTTTGTGGCCGGGCGTATTATCCTGCTGAAAGAGGCCAGCGGGTAATACTGTTCAATGAAAGGGTGTACATGGTCTGCAATATTGCTTGGGTAGGTGGTACGTGTCAAAGTAACATCCACATCAATGGCAGGACCCAAGGTTTCCCACCAGAATATTATCCGAAGCATCACACTGCCTCAGTTGGCTTGCCAGGTGTTCCCCAGGTAAATGCCTCACATGCACCTGACCATCCACGTGACGTAAAAGAAAACACAATTCATCAGATCAGACCTTCCATTCCTCCATGGTCCAGTTCTGATGCCCTTCGTTAGTGCTTTCAGCAGTCAATGAGGTCAGCATGGACACACTGACTGCTCGGCTGCTATGCAGCCACATACACAACAAACTGATGCTCTGTGTACACCTTTACATCAGAACCAGCACGAACTTTTTTCAGCCGTCTGAGCTGCACTTACTCGTCTGTTGGATCAGACCACACAGGCCAGCCTTTACTCCTCACATGCGTGAGTGAGTCTTAGCTGCCCATGACACTGTCGCTTATTCACCACTGTACCGAGCACTGCAGATCAGGACCGCCCCACAATAGCTGCAGTTTTGCAGATGCTCTGACAAGCACCAAACTCACTCCAATCCTTACACTTGTCATTTTTTCCTGCTTGCAACATCAACTTTGAGGGCAAAAGGTTCACTTCGCTCTCTAATGTATCCCCCCCCCCTAACAGGTGCCATGATGAAATCAGTGTTTTTCACTGCACCTGGCAATGCTCATAATGTTATGCCACATCTCCCCAGAATTTTATTTTCTTCTTTGTGGTTTCAGAACCTCGTTTGTAGCTAATATTAATTTTTGCTTTATATAACACACTTCACCTGAAGGAAATACCATTTACAGCATCAGCTTAGAAATGAAGTTGACCTCGAGTACTGACATCTTAAACACAAGAATCTCTGTAGTCCTCACCTACTTATTACATATACAAACACAGAACTGTATTTTTTCTTATCTTTAAATCAACAAGCATATCATATCCTGTTAACACACAAGTGAGCTCTACTATAATCACTTCATGTATCAGCAGCAACATGTAACGAGTGTGTTTTCTTGTCATTTTAAGCAGAGTGCTCTGTAACCATGTTAGAAACAAGACAAAAATATTATTTTTGTTCTTGTGGTCTCACTAACTCAGGAATTGGTTATTTGTGTTTGCATTGTATCTGGCTTGCTTGTGTTGTGTAGCTACAGCCAGTCAGCTGCTGTGAGAGGTCACACGCTGCCGACTGTAGCTCTTGTGTGCAAACGTTTGTGTGGCTGGTAACAAATATAAATCACTGCTAGATTATTATTTTTTCTTAATATGGCACTCAAATCACGTGGAACCGTAATGCACAGAGAGCAGTACTTTCCTCACCGCTCTTCCTGCTAGTACACTGTATTGTACCCTTTGTCCTGCAGGCTTTGAAGGATGCTCCATGGTGCCTTCCATCTACCCGCTGGAGACGCTGCACAACTCACTTTCCCTGAAGCAGGTGGACGAGTTTCTCAACTCGGTGTGTGAGAGCAACAGTGAGGTCCAGGCCAAAACCATGAAAGGTGCGAAAGCTTCAGTGTAATTTTTGTTTTATAGAATCTGATCGTCAGATCTTGAGCATGAATATAAATGGCCACAGTTCACTGGTTTTTAATCTGTTAATTCATATAAAGACATTTAAATAAAGCCTGAGAGTCGGCAGTTAAATTTCAAAGCCATTTCCACGTCTAGCAACAAAACAACACTTTCTGAATCCAAAAGCAGAAGAGAGCAGTATTTCTCAGAAGCATAATGAGCTTCAATTACATTTGTAAACTGATCCTAATGTGTTTTCTTTTCTCTCTCTGCTCCAGCGCTCTCTGGCTTGTTTGCCTCTCAGAGCCAGATTTCTCTCTATAGCCCGCAGCAGCCTCTTTCCTCCTCTGGATCTGAAGCATCTCTTCGACCGCCTGGCCAGCCTTTGTGGCGTAAGTGCAATGATTTTCATGGCATTATCAGTGTGTTGACCTGCTTTCACTGCACAAAGTGTTTTTCAAGAGAATGAAACCTCTTTAAATGTATCGGCTTCATGTTTAAATATTTACCCTCCTTACTATCGTGTAAAAGTCTAAATGACAACACAGACCGCAACAACTCAGTCGCGTCACTACAGTTTCACACAGATTTAAATGCTTCAATACTGTGGTTACTGCTACAGCTCAACCGATATAATGATTTTTTTTCTTCTTTCAGACACACGAAACAAACAGATTTCCCCTAAAGTGCATCATGTGTAGTTTTTTCTGTACATGTTTACACCCTGTCCAGCTCTGCTTGGTTTCACTGTTTGTTGTCTGGTGCTGAAGGGTGTTTGTCCCGTCTCTTTTTCTTCTAAATTGTTTTTTATTGGCTGTTAGAAATGCTGATAAATCAGCAAATGGCTAATGGCAGCTCAGCTAAATTGGTTCTAATTACCACAGTGAAGATGGAATCTCAGGTTGGAGAGGTGAAACTCAGCACTTTATCACATTCACAAATATCATAGACTGTGCAGGGGGGGGTGGATGTAGCCATCGAGATGTCAGCCATGCTTTTGTGAAGTGTTCATATGTGGATGAGACGGGGGAGTTTCAAGATAAGTCAGCCAAAAGCAGCCAGCTTGGTTAGCAGGGTACTGCATGGATATATCGCACAGACACAGATGAACTGCTAATTAGTGTGTAGGGAAAAAAATGCACAGTTTCACTCAGTTGCACTGACAGACTGTCCCAGTCTGCTCCAGTTTTAACTACAAAACAATCCACATATTTGTCATATGATATCACTGAAATGCTTCGAAATGCAGATTTTCACCCACCATACAGCCGCTCTGAAAATTATTATAGAGACCAAAACACAGGAGTCTAAGCACACTGATTTACAGACTCAAGTGGCCGAA